GGGGGAACAGCCACACCACAATCCCTTCTCCTCCATTCTCCTCTCAGGATCTTGGGCACGCACACACACGTGCCCAGCGTGAGTTTAAGCCACTGGGTCCAGGACTCGAACCACAGTCGACTACATGGGAGTTCAGCAACATAGCCATTACACTAACTGTTGGTCCCTTTTTTAAAATTAGTTTATTTCCCTTTATTTATTTGCTTATTTATTTTTATGTGGACGGGGGGGGCGGACGGGGCAAGACACCAGGTCTGGCACTTGAACCTCAGTCCAACACCCTTAACCATCATGCCACCTGCCAGCCCCCCAAAACTTTTTCAATAATAATAACCATAAATAGTATTAAATAAATAATTATTTTATAAAAATGTGAATTTGCGAATAACTCTGGTGCAAGTTGAGGACGATTTTGGGAAATCACAAAATGACAAAGGAAAAAAACTGCCAAATAACAGAGAGACCAGAAATTTTAATAAAGCAAATTAGATTGCATAGAACTACTTCCACCATCTGGTCAGATAACCAAATGTCTGACTCTGAAACTTTGAGCCCTGCAATCACAGATAATTTTTCAGTCCCAGAGTAAACTCCCTTTTATTGTTCCACTCCCAGTGAATCTTCTCAGGGCCCTTTTTATGTCTTTATTCCTCAGACTGTAGATGAAGGGGTTCAGCATGGGGGTGACCACAGTGTACATCACCGAGGCTGCTGCACTTGAGTGTGAGCTGTGGGTCGCAGCAGAGCTAAGGTACACACCCATGCCTGTACAATAAAATAAGGAGACAACTGAGAGGTGAGAGGCACAGGTGGAAAAGGCTTTGTACTTCCCCTGAGCTGATGAGATTCTATGAATGGAGGAAGCTATCTTACAGTAAGAGTAAAGGATCCCAGTGAGGAGACCAACAGCCACCAGCAGAACTGCAAAATACATGACCATGTCACTAATAAAAGTGTCAGAACAGGCAAGTGAAACCATTTGACTCATATCACAGAAAAACTGGGGTATTTCCAAGTGTGTACAGAAGGACAGTTGCAACACCATGAAGCTTTGCAACAAGGAATTCAGGGCCGTCATGATCCAGGAGACCAGAATCAACAACACACAGAATTGGGAATTCATGATGACCATGTAGTTCAGGGGATGACAGATGGCCACATACCGGTCATAGGCCATCACCGTCAGGAGGAAGTCATCCAATGCTACAAAGTGTAGAAAAAAGAACATCTGGGTGATGCAACCTGCGTAGGTGATGGCCTTGCTCTGTGTCTGGATGTTCACCAGCATCTTTGGGACGGTGGTGGAGGTGAGGCAGATGTCTACAAAGGACAGGTTGGAGAGGAAGAAGTACATGGGGGTGTGCAGGTGGGAGTCTGAGATGGTGGCCAGGATGATGAGCAGGTTTCCACACACAGTGATCAGGTACATGGAGAGGAAAAGACCAAATATGAGGGGCTGCAATTCTGGTTCCTCAGAAAGTCCCAGAAGAAGGAATTCTGAAATTTTTGTGTTATTTTCTGGTTCCATGTGATGGATATGACTATCAGGAAAGAGAAAAATATCATGAGTACTTTTCAAACATCAGGTATGACTGATATAGCTATAATGCTACAACTTATTTTTTTAAGGAATATAATTTTTTATTTCAATGTATTTATTTGCATTCATTCACTGTACATCATTACAGCATACAAAATGAGATTTTTCCATCCAGAGTACACTGTATATTGTCTCAATCAAGCACATCAACAAACATGTTATTGTCAGCAAATGAGCTTCCATTTCTTGTTTCCTGTATGTTTTGCTTTTTTTTCCCCCATCCTTGATTCCCTATCTCTTACCCTCTGCCATCTCCCACTCTCCTCCCACACTGTCTCCGGTATCTATGTTTGCTTTCTATACTGTTTTCTCCCCACATTTTATTGAATCACCAAAGACCCTAATCAATCCAAATACCCTCCTAGCAAACACAGGTGACACACACATTTCCATGAACACAAGTCTAACTTTACGCATCCTATAAAGTAGCACCTAGCTGGGGTTACATATCCTACTGCAGTCATTAAATAGATATATTTTTTTCCTGAAACTTTTTTTTGTAACTCAATTTACATTACAACTTATATTTTTTATTCAATAAATTAATTTTTGTGTTTTTTATTCAATAAATAAATTTATTCTGTTTATGGATCCAGTTTCCTCGTGGAATTTCTAGAAGCACTACTGATTAGAAATTTCTGTCCTACAGTGACCCTTTTTTTACAGGCATCATGTACTCAGTAATTTTAATGATAAATTATTTCTCATATTTGCATAAGTTCAATAATGCTTGTTGCATTGAATCAGAAATTAGATTATTGGACAGGGTTTTGACTGGAATGTCATATCTGAAGATTAACCAGAAAGCTATGGAACTAAGGTGACTCTCAAGTAAGCCAACAGAAGCTCTTAGAAAGATGGCCTGGCTCTATAAATAATTCTGCCAGGCAGAGAGGGATTAGAGAAGATATATGAAAGAATTTATAATATAAAATAACCTGGACTTTTCCAGCCCAGCATTATAATCAGTAGAGATTGCAAAAGAGCAACCACACCAGAGGATTATCTTGAGAAAGACTTTGAAGGAATAAAAAGAGACTGATCTTAGCTAGCAAATGGTATACCACAGAATACTTGGTAGGCAGGGCTGAATTAAGAAGGTTTATGTGTGACTAGTGTGCTGGGCCTTTGCTTTTCAACAAGTTGAGTAGTTGACATGTAAATATTTTCTCAAAAATATTTAAAACCATACTGTCTCTGTTGTTATAGAGTCACAAACAAAATTATTCAAAATTGTAAGTAATATTTTGAACATTATCTTTAAAATTCAGCATTTTGAAAATTTTGAAAGTTGTTTATTAACTGTTGAGAACTATGGAGTATAAGCAAAACTTTTGTGATATGTAAAGTAAATGTTTGTGGGGAAATGTAAAAATAAATAAATAAATGAAATTGACAGTTAAAAAAATTATTTCGCATATTTAAGAAATATATGGAGAGTGCTGATTGTGTTCTAAACATTACCCAGGCCATGACTTTAGGATGCTGAGAAACAAAATTCCCACTTCCCAATGGTGGAGAAAGAGTACAAGCAGATGAGAAAATCCATGTCTATCCCCTTGATTGTGGTGATGATGTTATGTATGTTTGCTTATCCACAAATTCATCAAATGTACACATCGATATGAAGTTCTTCATGGAACAATTATATCTCAATAAGGCGTTAATAAGGAAATACATACAACATTTGGGTGGTGAAAGATGCTCTGAAGAAAATGAAAGCAGGTATAAAGTTGAGTGAATCTGGTCCCTATTTTGTACAGGGGACCGGGTAAGGCAGGAATAGAAGGTGACATTTAAACAATGATTACAGGAAGAGAGAGTGGAGGCCAGGAGATCATGTGCTGGTATCTTACCTGGCAGAGGGACTAGCCAGGGCAGAGGCCCTGAGGGAGGCGCTTGTTTCTATGCTCAAGACCATCCAGGAGTCAGTGTGAGGTCAATGGACAAGAGGGAGAGGGATGAGAGATAGTGACAGAGGGTGTTGGAAAATGAGGTGACCTACTCATTACTGCTGAAACTGCAGGACACAGGGAGACCCTGTCCACCCTATGTGGCTCTTGCATTGTATTCATTTTGTTGCAAAGGCGTCCTTGAACTAAAAAGGATAATCTCCTAATTACCATCCAATCATTGTGGTCTCCCTCTGAGTGAGTGACTTTAGAATATATGAGCCCAGGCCAGCAGGTGGTGTGGAGGGTAATGCCCTGGAACCCACAAGGCTGACTGCATGGTTGGAGTCCCATACCCAGTAACCTGAGTGGTGCTTGTGCCCAAAATCCCAGGAGGAGTATGGAGAAGGGATTGCAGTGTGGCCATCCCCCCGGGGGGTGATTTCTCGCTTTCTGTTTCTCTGTCTCTCTCTGTCTGTCTGGCGAGCGCATGCACCTTATAGCAAAAACTTCTCCAAAAAAAAAAAAAAGAATATATGAGCCCAGGCCAGCAGGTGGTGTGGAGGGTAATGCCCTGGAACCCACAAGGCTGACTGCATGGTTTGAGTCCCATACCCAGTAACCTGAGTGGTGCTTGTGCCCAAAATCCAAAGAGGAGAATGGAAGAGAAAGGACTATGGTATGGTTTTCCTCCCTAGTTAGTGATTTCTCATTTTCTGTCTGTCTCTCTCTCTGTCTCTATCTGGTGAGCATATGAGCCCTATGGCAAACTAAAAAATAAAAAGAAGATACACACTCATGTACACATGCACACACACACAAACACACATATATACACTCCACCATGGCCCTCTGGGCCCTGTTACTACCATGTCTTTCTCACTTCATGGCCACATTCATCAGGTGACTAGTGTATACAGGACAGCTGGCCAGATGGCATTATCTTTCCCCTAAGGTAGAAATAACAACCAAAAATTCCAGTCTGTAAGCCTCATGTAAAGTCATAAACAAGGGGCTAAATTGTGTTACATTTTGCTAGTTTCTGCCCTGCATTTAAAGAAATGCTCACACACACACGCACACACACACACAATCAGTTCAGTGAACACAGTAAAAAGAACAGAGGGTAATGAAATAAACACAAGGGAGAATAAGAGCGCAATACACTGTAAAGTTACATGTAATCCAATGTAATATAAAGAAGATTATGATGATAATAAAAAATAAAAAAATTAAAAAAAAAATATTTAAAACCATACTGTCTCTGTTGTTATAGAGTCACAAACAAAATTATACAAAATTGTAAGTAATATTTTGAACGTTATCTTTAAAATTCAGCATTTTGAAAATTTTGAAAGTTGTGTATTAACTGTTGAGAACTATGGAGTATGAGCAAAACTTTTTTGATATGTGAAGTAAATGTTGGGGACCAGCCGTTAATGTAACGGCTATGTCGCTGAACTCCCATGTAGCCAACCATGGCTAGAGTCCTAGACCCAGTGGCTTAAACTCACGCGGGGCACATGTGCATGCGTGCCCAGGATCCTGAGAGGAGAATGGAGGAGAAAGGATTGCAGCATGGCCATCCCCCTGGGGGGTGATTTCTTGCTTTGTGTCTCTCTATGTCTCTCT